GGAAGAAATGAATTAAGAATTTAGATTGCAAATTAGAAAACATATATGGCAAAATGAAGTAGATATGTCAAACATCTTTTTAGTAGCATTATTTAATAATAGGTTTTCCTAAGAAAAAAAAGAAACTAAAAAGAATAAAATCCATAAAAACAAAACAAGAAATTCTAACCTACATGAAAGCATTCTCATGAATTTTTTTCAAAAAGAGAACTGAATGGAAATCATCATCTACTTGTACCGATTTTGAAACCTCAATTTTAAATAGTTACCAAAAACAGAGATGGATAATGACGAAATGCAAGAAAAGAAAAATCAACTACAGCAGAAACTCAGATTTGGAGAAAGAGCCAGGGATATCAGTAACCTTTAACCTCTTAAAGAAGAAAAATCAGACTATAGAAACACAATTAGTGCTAATCCATAACTATCAATTTAACTAATGACTTATTTCTTAAAGTTTTAAATCAAATTATTTAACATGAAAGCACTCAGATGCGATCTTGGCACATGGCAAGTACTTAGTAAGTAATAAACAGCTCATTTTCACTTGTTCCTGCCTCTACCTTTTTCTTCTTCATTACCCTCCATATTAATGATTGTTGCTGAGACTCTGCAAATTACCTGTAAGACAGTCATCTGCATGTTACTTTGCCCACTGCAAAGCCAGACATCTCCAAATAAGACATCATGAATTCTCAGGGTGAAATTCATAATCCCCAAAGTCTCTTGTGCCATCACATCAAAAGGTCCCCCGGGTTTCATAGGATCCAGTACCACCATCCAGGTATCAGAGTCTGAAACAACAATGGGCCTTCAAGAGATTAGTCAACCAGTCACCAAAGCCTGACCATACTCTATGCCCAGACACTGTGGTAAACTGTATTCAAAACTATGAAGACTGGCCAAATTTCAGTCAAGGCAATGGAACAGCAGTATTTTTATCCTTAATCTGTACCAATCCCTTCTTATTTTTAACTTAGGCATTGACAAAAAAAAGTTACCCAGTTATAATCCTAAATTAGGATAGATAAAAATACACAGATTAAAATTCAAGTAAGTTTAGTTTAAAATACATAAAATAGAAATTCTCGTTATACTATCCAACTGTCAATATTAACATAATCTAATTTTTCTGATTTACACCCCAAACTAACTTGCAATTATCCAATCAAACATGAGCACACATTATAGAAAATCACTTACAACCTGAATTATCCCCTTGCTAGGCAGGCTCAGGCATGTCATTGAGCCCCACCTCCTCCCATGTTGCTAACAAGTAATGCTACTAGCAGCACTGGGTTCTCCCATCAAAGAACAGGTGCACAGAAAAACTAATACATCAACAAGCAGTGGGAGGCATATAAATTAATCCCTGTGAAAAAGGCATTTTCACTTGGCCAATCAATTACTTTTAGAGATATATACAAGACTTTAAGGTGTTTGGACTCAACTAAGGAGATAAGGTATCCAAGACCCTTTTTCAGAAATTCAGAGCTTGCTCCTCAGAAACCATACCTTTCCTCTTCCTACCTCTCAGTCATTAGATCCATTATCAACATCATACTCAGAGATTTAAGGAAAATGCCTTCAAAGTGGTAATAATATGCATCAAAGAACCAAAAACAAGAAAAGGAGAGAAATGAATATTTTAAAATTAAAATGTCAAAGATAAACTGGTTCCTAATTTGTTGCCATCAGATCAGTGTAAATTCAAAGGAATAGAATGGGAAGACCTAGAAACAGAGCAGCCTAAAGTCACTGCACCAACCTCTAAGAAGAAACAATATAAAAGTATCATCCAAGTGCCCACTGTGTGCTAGACACTGTGTGAGGTTCTTTCCAGCCAGCAAGAACTACACAGAAGCACAGAAGCATGAGCTGTCTGGAGACACATTAGGAAATTAGTAAAAGCTTAGACCACAAGTGGTTACGTAGAGTGTTGGAGGAAATGTCCAAATGTTTGCTCCTCTCAACATAACCAGCTAAGCTTGCTACCAACTAGGCTGAGAACCAAGTGTTCACTATTGTATTTCTATGACTAATAGCCAGACAACCAACATATTAAATGTATAATTCACCTAAACCAGAAAAATCACTGTTTTGGAAACAGTGGGCAGCTAGTACAGATTGTGTCGCACAGGTGTGATGTGCTCCGTATGGCTCACACTTCTGAGCAGGCAGACGCTCCAATCTGTCCTAAAGCAGGCTTGCCAAGGTCTTTCCAGGCTTCCTACACTGAACATCTCACTGAAGCTCTGTCCTCCTGTCACCAACATCACTCATTTATGGTGATGAGGTCAACTTCTAAAAAGCCTAGCACAGGACAATTCTTTAGACTTCTACTGCTGACCACAGTGTTCCTGGTTACTGCTATTAACCAAGTATTTTCCCGAGGCTGTCTAGTGTGTGACGAAAACTACCCTCACCAGCATTGCTGCCCAGTAATAAAAATGCAGGAAAAGGAATTGGCAAAGCACAGCACCAGAGGATGAGCTTCCAGGGGAGCCCAGAGCCTGAAGAAAACTGGACCTCAACACTAAGCCGGTATTCCACATCTTTCCTCCCAGAAAAACACACCTTCAACTTCCCAAAGAGCCTTCTTCTCAGCTAGCTGGCTTCAACGCCTTTTTGTTCCTAGTATTTTCCTTCTCCTACTTGAGAAAAGAAAAATGAGCCCAGACACAACACTTTTAGGAGACACCAGCCTCCTATCAGATCAGAAGAAAGTTGGTGCGCTGCAGAGTACACTGATGGGCACACTGTCTCAGACACAACTGAAAATGGATGGGACTCGCTCCTGTGTGAGCACTGCCACGGGAAGCAGCAGCTGTGATGATGCATCTTAGACCAAAGGCACGAGAGGGATTATGAAGGCAGAAGCCACCATGTTTTACAAGGAGAATTAACTGTCTTTGGCTTGTCAGTTTAGGGCAGGTTGGTTGAAGGGAAGTATGTCATAGGTCAGTTAAGAGTTTTTTAGAAGGTATTTTAACCTATCAAGTCTATGTGGATGAGTCCAAATAGTAAACTCCAGCCTTCAACCATAAAGCTCACCACTGCTGAATTTGGACGCCTCATCCAACAGGTTTTTTGTGGGTCTTTTACTTTCTGAGGCACAGTTGCTCCGATCTTGCCTTCTGGACAACAGTCACTTGCTACCTTGTTCCCTCTTTTGCCAATCCTAGTCCATGTTTCTGTAAATTTTCTTTTTTGGTACATTCAAATCCCTGCATCCTTGCATTCTTTTTTCCTACCATCAAGGAAGATTAATTTCCTCTCTCATTATACAGCTACTTAGAGTGCATAGCACGTGCCAAGCAGCCCATCAAATAAATGACAAAAATAAACTCCAACCCTGGGCTACACTGATGAGAAAGCCATGCAAATTGACTAGGGCTTTATGTTTTCTTATGTAACAGCATATCTGGCGGTCTGCTTCTAGCTGTTGATCTGCGTATTACAGCAAAGGGCAGAAGAAAAAACTATCTCCATTTTAGTCCCCACGTCCCCCAATTAACTCCAGCCTCAAAATGGAAACAGCAAATAATCAAAAGGACAAAATGAAAATAATTTGTGTAGAGACATAATTAGTCACAAATACTTCCTTGTTTTTCTTATTATTCATATCAGTTTAATTATTTTGCAGGTTATTGTGTCCAAATCTCAGATGCTGAGAAAAGAAGAGAAAAGTATCCATGACCTCTACCTTCCCAAGAAGAAAAACCTCAAGCTTAAAGAAGTAGCTTTATTCACTTCACACAGAACCCTGGCTCTTCACCAGCTGCAACATGTCGGTGGCTTCTCAAAGTGGCTTAAAAGCAAGAAGGCCTTACTGTCTAAACTATCCCTTGTGGATCTACTTTTATTCTGTAGCTTAAAATTCAAATCCACCACCACTAAACAAGAATGCAAAAAAAAAAATTTTTTTTAAGTTAAACACTTTATGTCAATAAAACTGCCTATGAAAATTATTTAAACTACAGTATATTATGGCAGACACACCTTAGGGTGAGCTCTAAAGTTACAGCCTTGTATTATCCCCTCCTCTCCAGAGCAAACAGAATCTGTGATTTGCTCCCAAGCAATAGAAAAAAGGAGAAAAGATGGTGAAATGCCACTCTTGTGACTAGGTTATATTATATGGAAAAGGTGAAGGGATTTTGTAGACATGATTAAAGGCCCCCATCAGTTGGCTTTCACAGCCCTTTAACAAGGGTCCGAGGGTCAGAGATCTGAAGGAGCAGAGATGCTGCCACACAATCTGCCCTCAAGGGAATTAATTGAGCCAGCAACCTAAGCTAGCTTGGAAACATCACTCTGTAGACACACCTCCAGCTGAGAACACAGCCTAGCCTTCAGATCAGCATGGTAAGCCCTGAGCTGAGAGCAAACCCAGCCATGCCATGACCAGACATCAGACCTGCAGAAATCACAAGATGTTAAAGGTGTGCTGTTGTAAGTTTGTGGTAGTTTGCTTGTAACACACAAAACCAGTAAACAAGCCACTAGTGCAATGGGGGAAGGAGACATTTTTCTAAGTTAGAACCAATGACTCTTTCTACCTCAATCAAGAAGACAAAGACAAACAGCCAAAATCTGGTTGTATCACCTGCATCACACTCCCTTGAGATGGGTCTCCACAATTTTATTCCTGTCTGAAAGAATCACCATGTATCACTTGAAAACATGGTTTGAACCAATTCAGGACCTGACCAAATATATATACTTGGTTTTTGAGACAGAGTCTCATTTTGGCCCAGCTGGCCTGGAATTTACCAGGCTGGCCTCAAACTCACAGAGATCACCCTGCTTCTGCTTCCTGAGTGCTGGGATTAAAGGCATGAGCCACCATGCCTGGCTCATCCTTCTGCTTTTGATTTTTCTCAGTGCTTAAGTATCAGTCTCCTGGACAAAAGCTTAGACTATCAAAACCCAGTTTGTTCTAGATCTCGAGGGTTTATAGGTAATAAGATAAACATTTTCAAAGGTACCCAAAGTGGAAAATTGAGTTCATCTGGCTAAAAAACCTCAGAATTCTCATCAAAATCTGAAATAGAAGCCAGCCATCCAAAAGCTCCTGTTGTATGTCATTTTATTTATTTATTTATTTTTTATTTATTTATTTTTACTTTATGTATATGAGTATGCCTGCATGTAAGTGCACCATGTGTGCAATGCCCATGGAAACCAGAAGAGGGCATCAGATTCCCAGAACTGGCGTTATGGATGGTTGTTAGCTGTCATGTAGGTGCTGGGAACCCGGGTCCCCTGCAAGAGCAGTCAATGCTTTTAAGCCCCTCTCTCCAGGCTCTGGAGTATATCTTTTAAGAGACATTTTCTTGGCTGCTCTGGGAATTGTCTTACATGTCTACCTTTATTCCAAAGTATACCATCCATTTTGCTTCATGGGCAGGAGGAGAGTAAGATGCCACTGAAACAGGTTTGTTCACCTCTCTAAGCTGAAATTTTGAAAATCTGATGACTGGATCTACTACCACCAATAACATCAATCTTTATTCCCGAAATTTGATCACTAGTCCATGAATCACTTAATTCCCTTACTTTCTTCTGGTTACTATAACTCCAAATGACATGTCACTTTGCAGTGGAGAAAATGGAACATCGCTTGAACCTCCTCCACTCAGTGTGAGAGGACAGCTTGACAGAGTGAGCTTCTGGTAAGTGAACACCATTTGTGTTCTTTGTGTACTTTCCTAGGGTTGGTAGCTTAGTGTTTCATGTGAAGTAAGACCTTGATAGACATTTATTAAATTGAACTCAAGATAAATGGGCAGGTTCATGATCATTGTAAAGGAAGAAGGAAGCTTGTCTTTTAATGATTACCTTTTATTCCTTCCTGTCACCACCTACCTTCCTGCCTCATTTCTGCCCACCTCAAACATGAGTCCTGAAACAGGCATAGGGAGGTGAAACTCTAAGAATAAAGCATATGAAAAAAATTCAAACTGAAGTGCTGTATAATATCATGTGCTTTGTGTATCTATCTCTATAATGCTTATGCATTCGCCACCTCTTGAATATTTATTGGTAACATTATTAGCACCAAAGAAATCCCAGGTCTTATTTTTAAACCATGGCAGTTCTTTGGATTTCTAATCAACATCAGGTACTGAGAGGGCCAGTGTTTGCACATGATGCTACTCATGTCTAAGAGGGACCTGACACAAAAAGGAAGCTCTGCTGGAGTGAAGAGACAGCCACAGAATGGGAGAAAATCAATATCTAGACTCTATAAAGAACTCAAAGTAGAAAACACCAAAGAGCTAGCATCCAATCAATAAACAGGCAAATTAACTGAACGGCTCTCAAAAGAAGAAATCAAAATGGCCAATAAATATATTAAAAATATTGACCATCTGAAACCATTAAGGGAAATGTAAATTAAGATTACACTGAAGCTGAGTGTGATGGCACACATCTGTAATCCTGTAGTACTCAGGAGGTAGAGGCAGGAGGATCAGTTCAAGGTCATCCTCAAATACACTGTAAGTTTGAGGGCAGGCTGGGATACAGGAGAACCTGTCTGAAAATAAAGAACAAGAGGAGATGGGAGTGGAGAGGGAGAGGAGGAAGAGGAGGAGGAGGGAGAGGAAGAGGAGGAGGAGGAGGAGGAAGAAGAGGGGAAAGGAGAAAGGGAGAGAGAGAGAGGGAAGAAGGGGGAGGGAGGCAGAGAAGAGGGAGGGAGAGAGGGAAGGAAAAAAATCTATATTGAGAGATTGTACCTCACCTCAGTCAGAATGGCTATCATTAAGAAAACAAATGAGGATGTAGGGAAAAAGGAAACTTTATACCCTGCTGATGGGAATATAAACTGGTACAGCTGTTATGAAAATTAGTATGCTCAAAAACCTAAAAGTAGAATGACCATATGATCCACCTATATCTGAAGGTATATTCCTGGATATATTCCCGAAAAAAGCTAAATCAGCATATCACACATATACTTGCACATCAGTGTTTACTGAGCTACTATTCACAAGAGCCAAGATAAAGCAACCAGCCTAGATGCTCATAAAGAAATGAAGAAGAAAATGTGGTACATATCTACAATGGACTTTAATTCAGACATAAAAAGAATGAAATGTGTAGGAACCTCTCAGCACTCTTCCTCATTCTGGGGTTACTATGTGAGCTGGCACAGCCGCTGAATTTCATTTCCATGTGACCAACTTTGTTCTGAGTGTGAGTCAGTTTGGAGCATAATTTGTTTCTCATAATACAATATGGGGAGAGAGAGAGAGAGAGAGAGAGAGTCACAATAGACTATTTGGAAGGAGAAAGGGGAGAAAGTAGGGAGCAAAGGGGGAGGGGCACAAATATGAACAAAGTACAATGGCATATGTGTATGAAAACTCATTATTTAATGTGCTTTTAAAAAAAATGGGCTGAACTGGGCTGAAGAGATGATTCAGTGGTTAAGACCATTGGTTGCTCTTGCAGAGGACCTGGGATCAATTCCCAGCACCCACACGGCAGCTAACAACCATCAATAACTCCAGTTCCAGGGGAATCTGACACTCTCTTCTGACCTTCGCAGGCATTGCAAGACACGGGTGCACTGACTCTTGCAGGCAATAAATACATTCATACACATGAAATAAAAATAAATAAAATTTTTTTTAATGTGCTGAGGATATAGCTCAGTTAGTAGAGTGTTTGCCTGGCATGAACAAAGCCTCAGGTGTGGTCCCCACCACTGTATAAACAGTGTGATGTCATGCCTATAATCCCAGCCTTTAGGAAGTGAACGCAGGAAGATCAGAAGTTCACACAGCCCATTTGAAGCCAGACCAGAACCACCAATGACAGTGGTAGTTCTAGAACTCTTCACTTTCAGTACATCCCACAAGTCACCACTCCATTTAAATGTACAAAGAACCACTTGCCAGTCAGCTGAAGTTCCCCTCCAGGTCTGTTACTTCTGTCCAACATTCTGACCTTGAAAAAGTCTTGAGATGGGAATATAGGTCGATGGTAGAGCACTTTCCTAACATACGTGAGATCCTAAGCTCAGTTCCCAGCAACACACACACACACACACACACGCACACAAGCACGTCTTAAAACTCTAAGAAATACAAATCCTTGCCTTGACTCTATACCTGGCATATAGCATTTTTAAATACTTGATAAACAGAAATTTGCTTAATTCTGAAGACACAGCACCAGGGTCAAGATGACACTGGATTGGATAACTGGTTCAATACTAATACAGTAATCCTTTACAGGGACACTAAGATTTGCACCAGCTTCCCTGTCACATTTACTTCCTGTCACTGCACAAAGCACTGACTTATTCTCTAACTCTGCCACCCCCAGAATCATCTCCTCACCTGCTTCACTCTCATCTCTATACCCATAGCTCCAGGGCTACCTCTAGCATGACTCTGTAGCCCAAGATTTCCAGCTTTTCCTCCTGCACACACTGTCTTCTACATCTTTTTCTCTTCTACATAGAAACCCCTTATGTCTCTCTCTGCTCATGAAAACTGCTGATTCTTATCTTGAACTTTCATCCTCACCACCATATTCTTGGGCCAAGCCCTCACCATGTATCATGTGTATAATAAGAGCCTTCTAACAGTTCCACTACTCCTATCTTATGATTGTCAAACCATATCAATCTTCTCATGTACTTTTGTTGCTTAAAATCCATAGATACAGGACATATATGCTTTAGTAAAGATGAACAAGCCTCCCATCTGTCATCCACTACCAGTCACTTGTGTCCCAGATCAACCTAGCTGCCAGGCATTTCTCCAGTGATACATGTATGTTCCTGTCTCCATGCCTCTGTCCAGGCTGTTCCCTCTACTGAATTTACACTCCTCTTCTTTCAAGACCAGCCTTAGACTAAGTTCATTATCCCTACTACCCTCCTAAGCCCTCACATATACTCTGTCCTTCCTCACTGTGGCACTTATCACATGTAACTGTAATTGTTTATTTCCCTGCCTCCTCCCCTAACTTTCAAGCTCCAGGGAGAGGCTGTATCTTTTTATTCATCATTGTATCACCAGTACCTAGCACAGTATCTGGCACACAGTAGGCACTCAATAAATATTTGAATGACTGGGTAAATAATAATAGTAGTAGTAACAATAATAGCCACTCAAAGTTAGGTGCCAAGCATTGCTCCAACTGTTTTATGTGTGTTAATTCATTTAATTCTCACAATAATCCAATAAGGATTATGGCCATTCCCCTTTACATATGAAGAAGCTGTTCCCCTAGAGATGTTGAATAATATATTAAAAGTCATACAGTCATTAAAATGACAGTGTCAGAATCAGAACCAAGACAGTGCTTTCCATAACCAAAGTTCTTTGCTAGACCTCCAAATAAACTCTTTTTAAAAAAGATTTTAAAGATTTGTTTTATTTTATGTGGGTATTTGAGTATAATATGTACACTATGTACATACAGGTACTTACAGAGAGGACATTAGATCCTCTGGAGCTGGAGTTACAGGAAATCATGAGCCACCCAATATGGGTCCTGGGAACCAAACCTGGGTCCTCTGTAAGAGGACCATATTACTGATCCATATTCCCTCCAGCTCCTACACTGCCTCTTTTATATATGATTCAGCCCAAATGCCACCTTCTGTGGAAACGTTCCCATACCACCCAAACTGAGGTAGAGGTCTCTTTTCTGTATCTCAACGCATTCCACAGATGCTTTTATCATAGCACTCATCACATTATTACATGATTTGTTCTGTTCAATGAGCTCCCTAACAACAAGAACTTTGAATTTTATTATTATTTATGGTATCTTCAGTTCCTACCATATAATAAATACTCAACTTCTAAGGATGGATGGATGGATGGATGGATGGACGGATGGATGGATGATGAATGGATGGATGGATGGGTGGATGGATGGATGGATGGATGGATAGATGGTCAGCCTGAGCTAAAGTCATAAGCATTCATTTTCAGATAATCCAGCAGGTGGCAGAAGAAGACAGAATAGCTGAACAGGGAATAGGCTATCTTACCTTGCACACTGGTCACTTTCTTCATGACGGTTTCCTGACCTTGGCACAGGGTGACTGTCACCGTGGCTCCGGGTGTACCAAAGCCCCAGATCACTGCCCCAGAAGGTTCCTTCTGCAGTACCATGTAATTATCGATGTATGAGGCAAAGTGAAAACCAATACCTAAAAAATTAAGCAAATACTTAGGGGAACATCATCAGGAGATTCAGCATTAAGTGGATCTGGTGAAACAGGAAGTAACATACTGTCTCTATACAAAATAATTTGACTATTCTTAAGCCTTTTAATCTTCTAAAACTAGATCCCATTGCTTCTAATTAGACAAGCAACATAACAAGAACAGTTTCCAACAGTAGGCATCATAGCACAAGATGACCATTAAGAAAAACTCAGAGCCCAGGGCAAAAACGACTATTCACACTCTCCCTCCCTTCTCTTCAGAGTTCTTAATCTCCTCTTGCTCTGAAACTTGGCCCTAACCACTAAACATTCCTCCCTTAAATCACTAAAATGAAACTGCCATGCATCTCACAGATGGTGTTTATGAGAAAAATAAACTATTTCCTTCCCCAACTTTCCATTACTGTGCCTACTCTTAGTGGCAAGGAAGGAATAAAACAGCATGCCTGTCTACAACACAGCTTCTCTAGTATTTTCCCATCTTCATCTTCTCCTTCCAGCCTATCAATGCTAATTCCCTTCAAATCATTTCTCTTATGGTTTTTTTGATAACCTAGTATTCCACACATATCTGTGCCAAGTCTCCTTCCTTCTCAGGTAAATTCAGATAAACCAAGACACAACAATAAGGTCAGGAAGAGACAGAAGGTCAACATATCTAAGCAAAGGAGGTGTTACAATCGTATCCACTTCACAAGCAAGATGCACACTTGCATCTGTGGATTCTGTGCTGAGAGTCACTAACAAGACTGAATAAGAACTCACTCTAACAAGATCATTCCTATTTTTAACTCCCAGCCTATATCAAAGTACTTTTTTTAATAACAAGCATTGATTCAAACAATCTCAGTGAGCTCATCAAAATTTAACAAGGAAAATCATAAAACTTAAGTCCAGTTTTATCTCAATAAAACAGATGAAAAATCCCCCAAAGAAAATAATTTACAAAAATTAAGCTTTTTAAGACTTTTTTAAATACAAATGACAGGCAGGAAAGAGAATCAAGGCTGACATTTTCCTCCCTGGAAGGTAGAAAGGCTGACAGGCCCCTTAGGGTATACTTAACAGGTCAGTGCAGCTAATGGGAATCTCCTCACGGTAGCCTATTTATACTGCTTTTAGAATAACAGACTAGTTCCCTAAA